GGCTTGGTGAATGAAATGTGTATGCATGTGTGTGTGGTGTATGCACACGTTCATGTGGGTTTGTGCATGCTTGTATGTGTAGGTGTATGTAGAGGCAAGACATTGGCATCAGGTGTCTTTCTTGGTCAACCTCTACTCCCTTCCCAGTGAGTTTTTATTAGTAGCTGTGCTGTGATCCTGGGTTCCAGGATAGGGACTGTCATGTATCCAGGTCTCTCTTTACTACTCGAGGAGAAGGACAGAGGAGAGAGTAGAGGCAAGATGGAGCCAGGCCAGATCTTACGTCAGCAATTTCCGGTCTGGCTCTGGTTTGGAAGTGGCTGCCTGAAAGGGTAGTCTGGTAGTTGCTTAGAGCGAGCTCAATGTGACCCTTAGCAAAAATCCAGTTTATGTTTTGAAATTGGTTTTCTCGCTGATTAAAGGTGTGCCACTACAACCCGGCTGAAAATGCTTCTTGAAAGTGAAACATGAAGCTAGGTGGTATAATCCCAGCACTCAGGAAGCCAAGGCAGGCAGACCTCTGTGAGTTGGAGGCCAATCTGGTCTACAGAGTGACTTCTAGGACAGCCAGGGCTACACATAGAAACCTTGTCTCGAAAACCTAAAATAAATAAACAAACAAACAGAATAAAAAAAGCAAAACTTTCAAGCCAGGAGTAGTAATGAATGCTTGTGACCCCAGCACTGGTAAGGCTGAGGCAGGGTAGTCATGAGTTCGAGGCCAGCCTAGACTACCTAGGGAATCGAAAGCAAGTTTTTTCATACCGAGATCCTGTCTCAGAGAATCACACCAAACCAAATATCCTAGTTTGCCTCTCGGAAGCAACTTTGAGGGGAAAGAGTCTTTTGTGGCTTTTACTTCCATGCCCCAGTCCATCACTGAGGTGAGCCAAAGCAGGAGCTGGGGTGTGGAGCTGAAGCCACCGAGGGATGCTGCTTACTGCCTTGTTCAGCTATACAGCCCAGACCCAGGCGCACGGGATGGGAGCCACCCCCAGCGCCACCCCTGGACATCCATCAAGAAAATGCCCCACTGGCATGCCCACAGGGCAGTCTGATAGAGTTATTCCTCAACTGAGAATCATCCTCTTCCCAGGTGACTCGAGTTTGTGTCAAGTTGACAAAAATTAACCAGCATAACAAACAGAAACCCAGACAGCTTTGTCTGTAGATAGCAGAGAGGCCAGCACTCCCCACCCCACCTTCCTGAACTGAATTGATGCCAGTTCCCAGAAAAGGGCAAAAGGGAAGGAAATGAGCCCTCTCCCTTTGCTCTCTGACTGAACGTAGTTCCTCACCAAAGATAGCCAGTGTGTCTGTCTACATCTCTCTGCTTCTGTCTTTGCCTGTGCCCTTAAAGGATCAGGCAAGCTCAGCTGGAACTGTGAGGCCTGGAACATTAGTGGGGGAGCTTATAGACTTGCTGTGGACTTGGGGACCAGGCAGCCCACAGCATATGCCAGTTCTAAGATTTTTTTTTTCCAATGAAGCAGGTCTAATCCAAACACTATCTTTCAGGATATGTCTGTTTTTTGGTGAAATCTGAGTATAACTGGTTCCGCTTTTGTGAGCGACTGAAGGGACTGCCCATAGGGCTTCAGTGTCCATTGTTCTCTAGAGGCCACCTTTTTTTTTTTTTTAAAGATACACTTTATTATGGCTAGTGTTCTGGCTGCATGTTTGCCTGCCAGAAGAGCACATCAGACTGCATTACAGATGGTTGTGAGCCACCATGTGGTTGCTGGGAACTGAACTCAGGATTGCTGGAAGAGCAGTCACTGCTCTTAACCTCTGAGCCATCTCTCCAGTCTGGAAGCTCCCTTTTACAAATCACATTTACTCATTTGTGTGTTGAGGGAGCAGTGCATGCATACCACGGTGCTTGCGTGAAGTCCGAGGACAGCTTGTGGGAGTTCTCTCCTGTCATCTGGGCCCTAGGACTCAAACTCTGGGTGTTAAGCTTGGTGCAAGTGTTTTTATCTCCTGAGCCACCTTGGATGGCCTTGCACTCTGGACCCTCCTGCCTCTACCTCCTTAATGCTGAGATTACATTACAGGCCGGTGCCATTATGCCTGGATGTTTATTTTTCTTTCAGTGCCTTGTAAATCTCTAATTATTTTCCAATTCATTTTAGAACAAATATGCTTAATAGTGCGTGCCTGTGTTCACGGAGCTTGAGAGGCTGAAGCAGAAGGATTGCTTCTTTAAGGCCAGCCTGACCCACAAAGTGAGTTCCAGTCTAGCTAGGGTTACATGGTGACCCTGTCTCAACACACACCTTAAATTAAAACTAACCCCCCCCCACACACAAAACCTCCTGCAATCCCAGTACTAGAAGGTTGAGGCAGGAGGGTTGCCTCAAGTTTAAGGGCTACAATATTGAAACCCTATTTTAGGGCTGAGATGAAGCTTTAGTGGGTAAAGCATTGCTTTGTATGGGGATTGGAGTTGGGCTGCCAGAAACCAACCTCAACACAGCGTGGGTGTGTCATGTCAGCCTGCTTGTAATCACAGCACACGGGAGGAAGAGAAAGACAATCCTTGGAGAAAATTGGTTAGCCAGAATAGCAGAAATTGTACTCTACAGATTTACCCTGCTCCTGCACTCAGTGGAGAGCAATCATGGAAACCAACTACATCAACATCTGGCCTTCACACACAGGCATGCACATAGCCAGCTGGTGGTGGTACAAACCTTTAATCCCAGCACTCGGGAGGCAGAGGCAGGCTGATTTCTGTGAGTTTGAGGCCAGCCTGTTCAAGGACAAGAGCAAATTCTAGGACAGGTTCCAAAGCTACACAGAGAAACCCTGTCTCAAAAAACCAAACCAAACAATGAATGCTCACACATTTAAACACATCTGTCACACTCATGTGTCATACACACGTACATAGGCAAAAAAACAAAAAAAAAACTTTTTTTTTTTTTGAGACAAGAGTTTCACTATGTAGCTTTCTCTGGCCTGGGGCTCACTGAATAGACCAGGCTGGCCTTGAACTCAAGAGAAATCCACCTGTCTCTTCTTACAAGTGCAGGGATTAAAGAAATATGCCACCAAGATTGGCACAAAAAAAAAGAAAGGGAGAAAAGAAATCTTTCCAGGGACTAGACAGCAACTTCAGTTGTAGAGCTGCCGAGCACAGTGAACGTCCTAGATTTGATCTCTAGCATGGCCAAATAATATTAATAAATTAGCCTGGCAGTGGTGGTGCATGCCTTTAATCTGGTCAACCTGGTCTGTAAAGCAAGTTTCAGGACAGCTAGAGCTGTTACACACAGAAACCCTGTCTCAGGGGAAAAAAAACATAATAATAATATAAAATAAAAAATTAGTATCTTCTTTTCAACTCTGCAGGCTACCCCCAAATCCAGGCATTTATCACCTCCCTGGACTTCCAGTTAGCCTTTTCTTTCTTAGCCCAAGATGCCCTGGAACTCGCTATGTGGTCTAAGAAGACCCTTGAATTTCTTATCTTCCTGCTTCCAGCAAGTGTAGGGATTACAGGTTTATAGGGTGCTGAAGAGCTAGGCTTCCTGCAAGCTTGGGAAACAGCTTGCCAACGGAGTTACATGCCCAGCCCCAATATATGTTTTGGTTTTGTTGTTTCTCTTTTCAGTGGTAGGGATCCAACTCAGGGCCTGTACAAGCTAGGCAAGTGTTCGGTAGTATTAAGCTTATAGCCCTGTCTTGCTTTCTTCAGTATTAGTGCAAAATACTCCATGCATGGATTTTGCTCCGTGCCTTCCTATGATAACCAGCATGTTGGAATGAGGTCAGACTCAAGGGTCTCCAGATCTTTCCGACCTTACTAGCCGTTTGTTTTTCTAATGCTCTCGCCTTTGCCTCTCCACAACACCCTCGCTGTTCAGGTCTTTGCGGGGCTGTCCCACACCAACAGTAGGGGCCTTTCTCTTCCCCAGCAGCAGCACAGGTAAAGTGGGAATAAGAACCTCTGCCCTGTTCCTTGGAAGGATCCAGTGTGGTAATGCTTTTAAAAAACTTTTAGGGCTGGAGAGATGGCTCAGTGGTTAAGAGCATTGCCTGCTCGTACAAAGGTCCTGAGTTCAATTCCCAGCAACCACATGGTGGCTCACAACCACCTGTAATGAGGTATGGTGCCCTCTTCTGGCCTATCTACACATACAGATAGACTATTTATACATAAAAAAATAAATAAATATTTAAAAAAAAACTTAATAAACGATTAAGAGGTGAGAGCATGATCGACGGAGTCTGGAGCCCGAACACACCTGGGAAACACAGCTTCCATCAAATCAGTTCTTAATCGTCACGCCCTCAAAAACAGTCCAATATCGAAAAACCGAAAAAAGAAAAAACCCAGTCCAATAGCCAGTCCTCGTCCTGTCAATCTCTAAGCCCCGCCCCTCAGATCACTTAGCCGGAAGGCCCCACCCCTCGGAGCACTTGAAGCAAGTCACTCAAACCGGCGAGGTCCCCCCCCCGCCCCCCCCCTCCCGGACCTACCAGCAGCTAAGACCCGCCCCGCAAGGCGAACCAACGGTCCGGTCGTACACCCCGTTATACTCAAACCAATTCTTATTCCCCCAAGCACTAAAACGGTCAAGACCGGCTCCTTAAGACGCTTCAAAGGCTAAACTCCGCCCTACGGTGTGTGCACTCAGGCCAGGTCCGTCGGGAGCGCGCCAACGGAAAGGCCCCACCTCTGGGGAAACTCAAACGACCAGGCTCCGCCCCATAGAAAACTAACGGCCGGGCCCAGCCCCACAAGCCGCGCGCAACCGCCCGGGCTCCGCCCTGCAGAGCGCTCCAACCGCCCGGCCCCGCCTCCCAGAATCAAGCTCCGCCCTGCAGAGCGCGCCAACCTCCAGGTCTCTTCTCATAGGACCCTGTGACGGCTAGGTCCCGCCTCCCGAGGCTCGCTTAGGATCAGGCCACGCCCCCAAAGCGCAACCCCGGCCCGGCCTGCCCCTCGAGGCGCGCCAACTGTCCTCCCCCGCCCCTCGTGCGCCGAGACGTGAGGACGCCGGCGTGGTAGGCTGAGGTGGCAGTAGTCCTGCGGCCATGGAGCTGCCGCAGATGCCGGAGCTGATGGGGCTGTCCCTGCTGGTGGGGCTGCTGGCCCTAGTGGCCACGGCGGCGGTGGCCCGGGGCTGGCTGCGGACCGAGGAGGACAAGACCAGCCCTCCCGTCCGTAAGTAGACTGAACCGGATAGCGGGAGCTCGGTGGGGACTTTGCTCCCAGCCGCCGTGTGGTCCGACCTCAGTTTCCCCAGTCGTGAGATGCCCGTGCAGATATCGGGTTGCACGTTGGAGGTTGATTACACCTCAGGGGCAGGACTCTCTGGACCCCGAGTGCTACGCTCCTAGGTTGTAGGTAACTTTTCCTGGGACACCCCTCCGCCACACACCTTCCCCGTTCCCGGGTCGGCTCCGAAGACTTAGTTAACTCCCGAAGTTTGCTGTGTGTTCACTTTCTTGGAAAATGGGGGTCATTTGAAAATCGCAATGGCCAACTCTGCCTGGCGGGAGCGTTCACGGAGCTCCTCTTGCCTATAGATGAGCTTCGGGGTCTTTCGGATTCCTTTAATAAATGAGAAGCATGTAAAAGCGCACGTCTACACTGTGGGTCTGAAAATGCAAGCGAATTATACAGGGTGCTAAATTCACAGAAGAGTCCATACTAGAAAGGGAACGAGAACGGGGATGTGAATGGTTCTGCTTTATTTTATTTATTTATTTTACTCTTTGAGGGGGATGCAAGTTGAGGATCCTGGAACTCCTCATTGAGGGTAGGGAGCCCATCGCGGTGGGTTTCTTTGTTTATTTTGAGACAGATATTCACTATAGATCAGCCTGGCTTTAAATTCTCAGATTCTCCTGCCTCCGTCTCTCTGGAGCACTGGGATGTACAGGTCTGTGCCCCCTATTCCTAGCTTTGTTGGCTTCTGGGTATGTGAAACCCCAGGTCTCATGCAAGTTGCTGTACCCCTGAGCTACACCCGCCCCAGTGTAAACTTTTGCTAGGGAAGCCAGAGAAGAAAGTTCTGCCAGTGCCAAAACTCAAGAAGGCAGATTCCAAAACTGTGGACATGGCTTGGCCTTAGGCCTAGAATCCTCCCCAGTGAGGGGCCAGCAGCAGAGTTCAGTGGTAGAGGTCTTCCCTGAGGTACCTAAGGCCCTGAGTTTTATCCCGGAACTGAAACAATAAAAGAACAGCATCCAAAGGTCGGTCAGCACGGATAACTTAGAGGCAGATTGTATGTAGCAAGTCCAGTAGGCTTTGTTCTTGTAAGAATTAGGAAGTACCTACTGACACCCAGCACATCAGCTTTATGTGTCACCCAGTTCCCCAAGCTTATTGTGTGTTCCCGTGCCGGTGTGGAGATTGAAAGACAGCTTTTAGGAGTCAGTGACCTTCTACCATGTAGATTTGCACTGAGGTGGTCAGGGTTATTGGTTTAGTGACTGAACCATCTCTCCAGAGGCAGCCCAGCTCTGCCTTGAACTTTGTTTCTGTCAGATAAACTGATCGTTGATTTAATTATAGGGTAACACTATGTAGCCCAGGCTAGTCTGCAGTCCTTGCAATTCTGCCTCACACATGAGTACTGGGATTACTAGTGTATGACACTGTAAGTGACTTCTCAAGTTTCTCATCAATGTAAGAGTGCTTTTGGCTTGTATCTTGGTTATACTATCTCATTCAGTTCTCAACCTTTGCTTTGTTTTTTTGTTTTTTGACAAAGGGAAGTCCAGGTTGACTTTGAACTCCTAATCTTCCTGCCTTACAGAATACACCCCCAAGCCTGGTTTCAGTATTTTTTTTTTTTAAGATTTATTTATTATGTATACAGTGTGCTGCTTGCATGTATACTTGCAGGCCAGAAGAGGGCACCAGATCTCATTACAGATGGTTGTGAGCCACCATGTGGTTGCTGGGAATTGAACTCAGGACCTCTGGAAGAGCAGCCAGTGCTCTTAACCTCTGAGCCATCTCGCCAGCCCTGGTTTCAATATCTTTTTAAGAAAACCAAGACTTGAAGCAATTAAATAACTTACCCAAGACCAGGTACTTCAGGTTCCCTTGTTTGTAGTATTCCCTATGTTGGGATGTGTGGCTAGAATCCACCCAGCTGTGTCATCTCAGAGAGGTGCTATGCAGATTGAGCAAACAGTCTCTGCAAGATCACTCTAAGGCCTGAGGATGTAGAATATGAACCCTTAGCTGGGCGGTGGTGGCGCATGCCTTTAATCCCAGCACTTGGGAGGCAGAGGCAGGTGGATCTCTGTGAGTTCGAGGCCAGCCTGGTCTACAAGAGCTAGTCCCAGGACAGGCTCCAAAACCACAGAGAAACCCTGTCTCGAAAAAAACAAAACAAACAAACAAAAAAAAAAAAAGAATATGAACCCTTAGCATGCATGGGACTGTAGTTTCAGTCCTCAGTGTGAAAAAAAGATCACTCAGTGATAAAGACTGAATCCAACTCAAATCTGATTTCTAAATCTTTTTTCAAAAAAAAGCTTAAACATTTTTAAAGATTATGTGTATATGTCTTTGGTTTGTCCATGTTTGTGCAGGTGTCCTTGGAGACCAAAGGTACCACATCCTCTGGAATGAGAGTTCTAGTTGGTTGTGAGCCACCTGATGTGAGTAACAGGAGCCACACTGGATCTCCGAAAGAGCAATATATGCTTTTAACCACCAAGGCATCTCTCCGGCCCCATTTGTTGTTTGTTTGAACTTGAGGCTTTGCATATACTTGGAAAGCCCTCTACCATTAAGTTATATCCCTAGCCCCCACTCCCCTTTTTAATGAACATGGGTGTGACGGTGGATGTACAAACATGTTGTGAACAACATGGAGATCAAAGAACAGCCTTGTGTATCATTAGGAACACTGATTACTTCCATTGAGACAGGGTCTCACATTGACTTGGAGCTCATAAGTAGATCCAGCTGGTTTGCCAGAGAGTCCCAGTACAAATATATGCCACCATAATTGGCTTTTTTTTCCGCTATCACTTTATCTCAAGGACAAAGTCCTTATGTCTTGGTGCTCTACCCAGAGCCTAGGTAGTCCTAGGTACTCAGTAGATACTTGTGTGTGAGCACATGGATAAATGACAGGACCCTTCCTTCTAGGCCAAAAAGCAAATGAATCCAAGAAGTCAGGATCCAAGAAGCAGAAACAGAATCAGCGGGTTCGCAAGGAGAAGCCTCAGCAACATACCTTCACCCACCGCCTTCTGGCTGCAGCATTAAAGGTACTTGGTAGTCCTGGGTACTGAACTTCTGCAGTATATACACATGAAGACCCACACCCCAGACTTTGCCCTTTGTATTAATCTATATATTACATACACTTCTAACTCTTACCAAGAGAGTAGGCACACCCCGTTCTGGCCCTTTGGCTTTTTTTCCTCCCCTGTAGTACTGAGGAATGAATCCAGGGCCTTGTGCATGTTAGACCACTCTCTACCACCGAGTTACACCTCCAGTCCTTGATTGGCAGAGTCTACCTAAGTGCTCTGTAGCTGAGCATCTTACTAGGGAGTCTAGGCAGCCACTCTACTGCTGAGCTTCATTCCTAGCCCACTCTACTTTCTATTTATGTTTTCCTACTTTGAAATTTGAGATCGTTTCACCAAATTGCTTGGGCTAGCTTCAGACTTTCTCTGTAACCCAGGCAGACCTTGAACTTGAGATCCTACTGCTTCAGCCTTCCAAGTAGCTGGGATTATAGAACTGAACTACCAGGACTATCTTATCCTGTTCTCTCCTCAGCTTCTTGGGCCACAGAGTTACAGCTCTAGGTTCAGCCTCCCAATCCACTGGAGAGTATCTCATTTATACTCCCTATATTCTTTTCCCTAGAGCCATAGTGGGAATATATCTTGCATGGACTTCAGTAGCAATGGCAAGTATCTGGCCACCTGTGCAGATGACCGCACTGTCCGAATCTGGAGCACCAAAGATTTCCTTCAGCGGGAACACCGCAGCATGAGAGCCAATATGGAGCTGGACCATGCCACCTTGGTGCGCTTCAGCCCAGACTGCAGGTGGGACAGGGCAGAGCCTAAGGCTTGCCTGCAAAAGCCCAGCTCCTGGCTTTGACCTTCCCAAGTCCAGTTGGGGGTTAGTGAGGAGGGACCAAGAGTCTACCTTGGGATAACGTAAAGAGAGCATCCATACAGTATGGGCTCTTATCCCTCAGAGGTTCTGCTCTACAAGAAGAAGCAGAGAAGGGATGATTGATCCTACAATGGATGTTCCCAAATCTAGCTTTACCATAAATTTTGGAAGCTCTTATGACTAATAGGCTCTAGAAATGAAAGGAACCAAAGTATGAGGATCCTTTCTTTCTTTTCTTTTGTAGTGTAGGCACTGAACTCCGGGAATCACATAAGCTGGCAAGGCCTTACCACTGAGCTACACCCTCAGTCTTTTTTGCTTTGGGTTTTAGTTTGTTGGTTGTTTTGAGATAGGACACAGAGACTTGCTATGTTGTTTTCACTGTGTAAAGCAGCTTGTCCTTGACCTTGTGATCCTTCTGCTTCAGTCTCCCCAGTGCTGGGATTCAGTGTGGCCTTGTGTGCCTTTGTTCAGGGAAATACAAGCAAATGTTTACCATAGAGACAGCATCAGCAACAGACCAAAGAGTTATTACACCATGTGTACGTTGGTGAACCAGTGAGGTTATTGGGGTTGCTTACAGGAGTATAGAAAGAATGCATAAAAGAACATGGACAGGCCTGGCGGTGGTGGTGCCCGCCTTTAACCCCAGCACTCGGAAGATAGAAGCAGATGGATCTCTGAGTTCGAGGCCAACCTGGTCTACAGAGCAAGTTCCAGGATAGCCAAGGCTATACAGAGAAGCCCTGTCTCAAAAAACAAACAAAAACATGGACAACTCTTTGGGAGCTGAATCAAAAAAAGCCCACCCCTGCGTAGGTAATGACTCACAAAAGTTGTGTTCATTCTTGGAGCTATGTGTTGGACTTTATGGCAGCTCCAAACTTCTCTTCCCAGTACTTGTTTGCTATTTCTATAACCTTGAAGAAGGGGGGTTTTATGAGTCTTGGAACTTTCAGGGCTTCCTGCTCCTTATTTGAGTCTCAAAGCTCCCATCTATGAAGGGTATTATTTTTTATGTTTTAGTGCTAAGGAGCAAACCCAGTGCCTACCACTGAGATATATCTCTGAATTGTTCTGTTTTGCTCTTGTGTGTGTGTTGCCCAGCCGACAGCAGAAGTTGGGATGGTTTTTTTTTTCTTTTTTCCTACTGTATGAGTTCCTGTGTATTGAACTCAAGTCACATTAGTTTTACCAAGCAAGTGCTTTTTAACCTGCTGAACCATCTCATTGGCACTCTGAATAGCGCTTGTGAGATTTTTTTTTTTTTTTTTTTGGTTTTTCGAGACAGGGTTTCTCTGTGGCTTTGGAGCCTGTCCTGGAACTAGCTCTGTAGACCAGGCTGGCCTCGAACTCACAGAGATCCGCCTGCCACTGCCTCCTGAGTGCTGGGATTAAAGGCGTGCGCCACCACCGCCCAGCCCGCTTATGAGATTTTGAGGGACTGGACTTAAGTTCAGGGGTTAAGAGCGCTGGCTGCTTTTACATAGGATGCAAATTCAATTTCCAGCACCCACATGTCAGCTCACAGTTGTCTGTAACTCCAGTCTGAGGGGAGCCAGTGCCCTCTTCTGGCTTCTAAGGGCACCAGGCATCTGGTATATAAACATTAAGAAAATTTTAAAGTTAAAAAAAAAAGTTTGAACCAAGGAATATAAAATAGGGTGAGAGGCACAATCTTGATCCCCCCCTCCCCATCTTGAACACGTAGACCTCTTTACAGGTGAGGAAATGACCTCTTTTTTTGCTCTCTAGAGCCTTCATTGTTTGGTTGGCCAATGGGGACACCCTCCGTGTCTTTAAGATGACGAAACGAGAAGATGGGAGCTTTACCTTCACAGCCACCCCAGAGGACTTCCCTAAAAAGCACAAGGCGCCTATTGTCAACATTGGCATTGCTGACACAGGTAGGGAAGTCAGTGGATGGAGCTAACTTACAGCATGAGAAAGTGCCCGAGTCATAACTTGCTCTTTGTTTTGTTTTAAGATTTATTTATGGGGGCTGGAGAGATGGCTCAGCGGTTAAGAGCATTGCCTGCTCTTCCAAAGGTCCTGAGTTCAATTCCCGGCAACCACATGGTGGCTCACAACCATCTGTAATGAGGTCTGGTGCCCTCTTCTGGCCTGCAGGCATACATGTAGAAAGAATATTGTATACATAATAAATAAATAAATATTTCAAACAAAAATATTAAAAGAAAAGATTTATTTATTTTTACTTTATGTATTAGGTATTTTACCTGAATGTAAGAGCCATGCTTCTTAGAGCAGTACCTCATTGTTTCCTTGGGAAGTAACCATTCTTTTTGTCATGAGGCCAGAAGAGGGCATGGTGTTCTCTGGGACTTGAGTTACAGCCAAGTGTGAGCTGCCATATGAGTGCTGGGGATTAAATACACATCCTCTGGAAGAGCAGCCAGTGTTCTTAACTGCAGAGTCATCAACACGTGGGAGTTGAACTTAGTTCATCAGACTTGGTGACAAGTACCTCCACTCACTAGACCAATTTGCCAGCTTTCTAAGTTGTATTTGTTGAATGAGTTGATATTACCTGAGTTTTGCCTGGTGTCCTTGTGACCATGGAAGTCTGGCCCTTTGCTTCTCTAGAATCCACAAGCTATACAGTAAGAGCCATGCTTCTTGGAGCAGTACCTCATTGTTTCCTTGGGAAGTAACCATTCTTTTTGTCATGGCCCCAGCCTCACAACTTTCCTCTCCTCGTCAGGGAAGTTCATCATGACAGCCTCCAGTGATACGACCATCCTCATCTGGAATCTGAAAGGTCAGGTGCTGTCCACAATCAACACCAACCAGATGAACAACACTCACGCTGTTATCTCCCCATGTAGCAGGTAAGGAGGAAGAGAATAGCTACAGAGCAGAAGCAGTTTTGAGGAGTGGGTAGGGGACTCCTGGATATCATTCAAAACAGTGGAAGGATTTCCCACAGGGCTCCATAGTCCTTAGTGTCTGTTTCTTCACTTATGGTGTGTTTATTTTTGCAGTACTAACGAGAGTACATGTTAGGCAAATACTCAACCACTATACAACATCAGAAGCCCCTCCCTCACTTATGGGCTTCATTTTACTTGTTTTGTTTTTAAGCCTGGGGCTCTCTATATATCCCTGGCTAGCCTGAAACTCATTATGTAGATCAGCTGGCCTGAAACCCAATAATATCAGCCTACCTCTGCTTCCAGAGAGCTTGGATTAAAAGTGTGTGTCACCATGCCAGGCCTTTTTAAAATCTTTGTTTGGTTTTTGAGACAGGGTCCTTTTATGTAGTCCTGGCTGTCCTGGAACTAACTGTGTAGATCATGCTGGCCTTAGACTCACAGAGAGATCCAGCTGCCTCTGTCTCCCAAGTGCTGGGATTAAAGGTGTGCACAGCCACCACCCAGAGTTTTACTTTGTTTGTTTTCTCTTAGAGTTTTGTTGTAGAGTCCTGGCTGGCCTAGAACTAGCTATGTAGACCAGGTTGGCTTTGAACTTGTGATACTCTTGTATCTGACTGCTTAGTACTGGAATTATAGACATGTACCACAATATCTGGTTCTCTTTGTTCTTTTCTTTTTTGTTTATGGTTGTTTGGTTTTATTTATTCTGAGACAGGCTTTCTGTGAGTAGCCTTCAACAGCCTGGAACTCACTCTATAAACCAGGGTAGTCTCAAACTCATAAAAGATCCACCTGTTCTTGCCTTTTGAGCATTGGAATTTAAAAAAATGCATAATACCCGGTGTTATTATATTAATTTTAATGTTAGTTTGAAATAAGATCCTGCTAAATTATCCATACTGCCTTCCTATTTACTCTGTTAGACCAGGAAGGCCTTAAACTTGATCCTTCTGCCTCAGCTTCCAGACTAGCTGGGGTTGAAGGGGTATACCTCCATGCCTGACACTGGAACACTTTAAAAAGATTCCTTAGGCCTGGCGGTGGTGGCGCACGCCTTTAATCCCAGCACTCAGGAGGCAGAGGCAGGCGGATCTCTGTGAGTTCGAGACCAGCCTGGTCTACAAGAGCTAATTCCAGGACAGGCTCCAAAACCACAGAGAAACCCTGTCTCGAAAAAACCAAAAAAAAAAAAAAAAAGATTCCTTAGGCTGGAACTGGAGCTGTAGATCGCTTACCTTGTATTTATGAGACCCTACATCCGTGCTTAGCATCATTGAAAGGTACTGTTTCTCAGGAAAGAGCGCTAAGATTTGTTAGAAACAGGGTATTTTAACATTTGAGTTTTAAGAGTGTGGGTTATGTGACAGGTTTGTGGGTTCGTGTGGCTTCACCCCAGATGTCAAGGTCTGGGAGGTCTGCTTTGGGAAGAAAGGGGAGTTCCAGGAGGTGCTGCGAGCCTTTGAACTGAAGGGCCACTCTGCATCTGTTCATTCTTTCGCTTTCTCCAACGACTCTCGGAGGTGAGTTTATCAATGCCTTTTCTTTCCTTCTAGTTGTTTGGTCTTATTTAGTGCAAATAGCCAAGGCTGGCCTTGGAGTACTGATCCACCTGCCTCTCTTTTAAGTATTGAGACATAGGTGTGTATATTACCTTGCCTGGCATTTTTTTTATTGTTTTGTTCTGTTTGTGTTTTTTGAGACACAGTCTCACCTTGGTAGCCCAGGCTGGCCCTGAACTCAGATTGATCCTCCTGCCTTGCCTCAGCCCCCAGTGCTGGGATTATAGGTGTGAACAGGCAAGCTAGGCTTAGCAGTGGACCTGGGCTGCAGGTCTGAAAAGGGTGGAGGACTTGATTCTCTGCAGAATGTAGACTTGGCTTCGTAGTTGTAGCCTCTTGGGCTGCTCCAGCGCCTTTCCAAGCTGGGGTTGTTGAGGCTCTAGCTGTGATTTCCCACATTGCAGGATGGCCTCTGTCTCCAAGGATGGCACTTGGAAGCTGTGGGACACAGATGTGGAATACAAGAAGCAGCAGGACCCCTACTTGCTAAGGACAGGCCGCTTTGAAGAGGCGTGTACCATGCCTTGCCGCCTGGCGCTCTCCCCTGACACCCATGTCCTGGCCTTGGCCTCTGGCACCAGTATTCATCTCTTCAACACGAGGCGTGGGGAGAAGGAGGAGTGCTTCGAGAGTGTCCATGGGGAATGTATTGCTGACTTGACTTTTGACATCACTGGCCGCTTCCTGGCCTCCTGTGGGGACCGTGCAGTGCGGCTCTTCCACAACACCCCTGGCCACCGGGCTGTGGTGGAGGAGATGCAGGGCCTCCTGAAGCGAGCAACCAGTGAGAGCACCCGCCAGAGGCTGCAGCAACAGCTGGCCCAGGCCCAGGAGGCCCTAAAGAGCCTGGGTGCCCTGAAGAAGTGACTCTGGCTCTGGATGGGTCTGACTGCCTGCCACAATGGTTGCTACTCTATTCCCAGCTGTCCCTGGGGTAGAGACCTGGAGGAACCTCCCAGTTTTCTTCCTGTTGTCCTCCACTTTTTCCCATTGAAGCTATTCTTGCATATTTAGATCTCTCTCTCTTCTTGTTTGACTCCTCCCATAATGAAAGGTGCTGTTTTCTCACAAGCCCAAGGGTGGAGTCTATCTTCACCCAGCACTGAGAAGAGGGGTAGAAAGAAGAGAGACAGAAAAAGCAAAGCCTTTGTGTGGCAAAAGACCCTGACACCCAAAGAAGTTTGTGAGTGAGTGTCAAGGTAAAACCTGAAGGACACCAGAGAGTAAGGTACAGAATGTGTTTTATAATGCTGCAAGATGAGTCTCCACCTGGACCAGGCTCCTGTTACCAGCAAGAAATAATTAAAGGATGGTCTTTGTGTTTATGTTGGTCTATAAACTAGACATTCAACAGGTAAAGGCAAGAAAATCAGGGGTTCAAGTCACTACATAGTGAATTCCAGGACTTCCTGGGCTCCATATGGAGAAAGACCTTGACTAGAGATTTTTTTGCTCCAGGCTTCAGTTTTCTTATTTGTAAAATGGGGAACGATGCTCTCTGTGGCCTTCTTCAAAAGATGTTGTAAGGCTAAGAGCATTCCAAAGCTTCCACACATGTAGCATAATAGTGCTGTCCAACATCATTAACTGTCAGGTAAACTTTGGACTCAAATTGTGGTCTGCAACCCAATCAGAAGGAAACACAGCCCTTGGGAGGGCCAGTCTTCTGAAACTAGGCTTGCTCATTCATCTTGGATGCATATGGGGGTTTGGTTCATGTGCCTTGAGAAGTAATGTAATCTTAGCATGGCAACTCCTCTATTGGAGACCTCTTGGGCTTATCACTTGGGTGTCTGCTTCATGGGAAGAGCTAGTGATGCTGGCTAACACAAGACTGGGCCTGCTGCCAAAGATAAAACTTAGTGGGAAGAACCTACAGGCTGGTATCTGTGAAGTGCTGTTTGTTCAGTCACAGCTGCAGGGGATGTAGGCAAGGGGCTTGACAGTTTGACTATAATGGGGATGAAACGTAATATATCCAATGAGAGATTGGTTTCAGACATGAATTTGAATACTGCTTGGATCCAAGGAGTGTGGAAAATGTCAGGAATCTAGGAAGGCTTGACTCTACCAAAAAGTATCCGTCTCATTTAGTTTTGATCTTTTGCTTAAAAGTAGATCCTCTTCCAGCCATCCTCAATGGTACAGAATGTTGGAATAAGGCACAACCCTGAAGTTGACCTTGATGGCTCCCTTGTCGCCACCCTCTTCCACCACCACTGCTATATCCAGATGCCCTGCAGCATCTGCTGTCTCCCCATCTCTTCTGTTAGTACACTGGTCTTGGACACTGAACATACTATATGTATAGTACTTCTCTTCCCAACCACATTACTTTAAGTCACTTTTCTATATAGTTTAGCCAGCTTTTGAAAAACATAAAACAGGTTGTGCCATTCCCCAGTTAAAAAACCCTTCAGAGGCTTCTCTCTACTCTTAGACTAAAAACCCTGATCTCTCTCTGTGCCCTACATAATGTAGTGAAGTTTAGCTCCTCCTGTGGTCTTCCTTTGCGAAGGTCGCTTCCACCCCATTCTTCCTGTTTTTTTACTAACCCAAGCAGTTCACAGGCTCCAGGTATGGGCTGGTCCCTCTTGTTTGTTGCAAGCATTTTTCCTTTCTGTTGGCAGACTTGTCAATGTGATTCAGTCCTTGGTAACTTTGATTTCAAACAGTTGCCTCCTCAAACACTCCATCCGAAGTAGCCCTTTCCACCAATCCCGTCCTATTGTTTACGTTGGTGCTTTTCTTTCTTTTGTATGAATAGATGATTTCTAAAGCTATCTTGTTTGATATGTATTTGCTCCAGTGCCGTGACAGGGGCAGTTGTGTGTGTAGCAAAGGTAGGAATTAGGTGGGTTGCCTGGTTGTGAGATGGGAGGAAATGGTAGAGACTGCAATGAGCTGGTAGACCTGTGCCCTGGGTGCACAGTGGTTAGTAGCTGCTATGTATTGTTTAATAGTTCCCCCAGAGTTCCCAGTTTCAGAGAAGTTAGATGTTAGCGCCTTACTCTGAAACGAGGCACCATTGTGAATTGCACCCAGCACCGATGTAGGAAGAATCAGCTCACCAGTCTCATTGTTACTTAAGGATTGTTCCTTGCTTTTCATTTTGCAGGCCTGGGCATGGAACCCAGAGCCTCCTGCAGGGGAGACCATCATTCCGCTGCTGAATCATGCCTTAGCCCTCACTAGGAGAGGCTAAGACCGTGGCTGTCCTGCTCAGCCACAGCCCCTCACTGGGAGATTCTAGGCAAAGGTTCTCCTTAGCCACAGCTGCAGTCCCTCACTGGGCAAATGTTCTGCTACTGAGCCTCCAGCACTAGTTTGTGAATTGCTGAAGAATGCATTGGAACACGAGTTTCACAAAGACAGGACCCTTGTTTGTCTGCTTTGTTCTGGGTTCCAAGTCAAGAAGCTGGGACAGAGTAAGCTCTCAATAAATAGAACTCAGACTAGAAGTAATTGACAGAAAAATTGATATTCTTTTGTTTTTCTGCACTCCACTGTGGATTCAGGTTTCTGATAAGATCAGCCATATTGAGGCCTGTATGGTCACACCCAGGTTTGGGTTTCTGAACACACAGCTCTGCCTCGTGCTGCATGTGCATGTGGGGTCTGGTAGATGTCTCCTTTGGCTGTCAGAAGCAGTATAAAAGGCTTCCACTTGCTTTTGAATGCCTGTGTCACGACTGCGGAGGGAAGGTAGGGAAACCAAGAATGCTGAGCCACTGAAGTCAGAAGTCTGTTCCAGAATCAGCCAAGTCAGTGACGTGTGACCTGGACTGGGGTGATCACAGAGGCTGCCTGAGTTTGTCTCCTCATCTGTAAAATGGGAATAAATGTTGTCCTGTCTACCATACTGTGTTGATTCTTTGTGTGTGTGTACACGTGTGCTTGTGTATTACACTGGGGATTAGATGTGGTTTTTTCCCAACCCATGTGTGTGTGTGTGTGTGTGTGTGTGTGTGTGTGTGTGTGTGTGTGTGTTTGAGACAGGGTCTCACGTTGTAACTTTGGCTGTCTTGGAATTCATAGAAATCCACCTGCCTCTGCTTCCTGAGTACTGGAATTCAAGGCATGTACAACCATATAAAGCTCTTTTTACCTTTACTTTGAGCTAGTATCTCACTAAATTGCCTTTGAACTTGAGGTATTCTAGCTTGATCCTCTGAGCAGCAGGGCTGACACTACAGGACTACATCATGCCTGGAGCTGAGACTTCTGACTAGTGAGCATTACAAAAGGTCACTGCACAGACTGCCCAGGGGTAGAACAAAAGTGTCTGGCTCTTAACAGAGGCTGCCAGGTTTTTATGATCCTCAAGAGTAGAGGCAACATTGATTTTACACAGGGTGTGGTGGTGCATGTTTGTAACCTAGTACTTGGCAGGTTGTAGTTAAAGTATCATGAGTTTGCCCTGTGCTACATAGACTGTCTAAAAATTTAATAATATTTCTGAAGGTTTTTAGTTTTTCAAAACAAAGGGGTAGGGGGAGCTGAACATGGTGGTACTTACCTAATAACCCCATCACTCAGGAAGCTGAGGCAAGAGGATAGCAAAGTTTGAGACCAGAGAGATGGTTCAGTGGATAAAGGATCTTGCTACACAAGCCTGTAACCTGAGTTCAATCCCAGGTTCCACGTGAAGGTGGAGAGAGCAGTGACTCGCTCTTTCACTGTGCATACACACAATAATTTTATTGCACTCACAGCCATCTTTTTTTTTAATATTTATTTATTTATTATGTATACAATATTCTGTCTGTGTGCAGGCCTGAAGAGGGCACCAGACCTCATTACAGATGGTTGTCAGCCACCATGTGGTTGCTAGGAATTGAACTCAGGACCTTTGGAAAAGCAGGCAATGCTCTTAACCACTGAGCCATCTCTCCAGCCCCACACACAATAATTTTAAAAAATTAAAAGCTAGAGGGCTGGAGAGATGGCTCAGCTGTTAAGAGCATTGCCTGCTCGTACAAAGGTCCTGAGTTCAATTCCCAGCAACCACATGGTGGCTCACAACTGTCTGTAATGAGGTCTGGTGCCCTCTTCTGGCCTGCACACAGACAGAACATTGTATACATAATAAATAAATAAATATTTGAAAAAAATTAAAAGCTAGAGAGATGCCTAAGTGGTTAGGAGCTGCTCTTCTAGAGGGCCCAGGTTCAATTCCTAGCATCCACAATGGTGACTCACAACTGTAACCAGGGGATCTGATGTCTACTTCTGACCTCCACAGGTTCTGTGTGTACCTGCATATGCAAGCAAACACAAAAATAATTTTTTTTTAAATAAAGGAAAAATGACTGATTTGAGAGTTGGCTCAGTAGTTAAAAGGACTTGCTCCTTCAGTGACCTAGGTTCAATTCCCAACATCCTCTTCTGGCCTAGGCAGACATCAGACATTCACATGTTGCATGTACATGCATGCAGGCAAAACACAAAGCAATAAAATGATTTTTTTTTTTTGAGACAGAGTTTCTCTGTAGCTTTGGAGCCTGTCCTGGAACTAGATTTTGGAGACCAAGATGGCCTCGAACTCAGAGATCTACCTGCCTCTGCCTCCCAAGTGCTGGGATTAAAAGCGTGTGCCACCACTGCCCAACTAATAAAATGATTTTTTAAAAAGGAAAAATGACAGTGTGTAACCTATTTTGCACTCACTTAAAATGGAAGAAAACCTGGGAAAGTACATAGAAAGGCCTGTTGGTTCTTAGTGATATGTACAGTTAATAAAAGTATGTAAAAAAATATTCTAGCCATTGTGGTGCATGCCTATAATCCTAGCACTTGGGAGGCAAAGGCAGAAGAATCATTTCAAGACTTATGGTATAATAGCCAGTTCCTGCTTATCCATGGCTACATATTAAGACCTTTTATCAAAAAGGGGGTGGGGGGAGCTGGGTGGTACTTGCCCTTAATCCCAGGACTTGGGAGATAGAGGCAGGTGGATCTCTGAGGTCAATGTCAGCCTGGTCTATAGAGTAAGTTGAAGGCTAGTCAGAGCTGTTCAGTGGCACCCTGTCTCAAGGAAAACAAAAATGGCTGACGATAGATGGCTTAGTAGGTAAAAGTGCCTGCTGCCAAGCCTGACAACCTCAAGTCATCCTCTGACCTCCACATGTGCAAAGTATGGTATGTGTATATTTACACAATTTTTTAATGCTTAGAAGTCTGCTGGGAGATAGCTCAATCAGTATAGCACTTACCTCACAAGCATGAGAACCTGAGTTAAATCTCAAAAGCCCACATAAGAAACCTGGAGGAGCCGGGCGATGGTGGCGCACGCCTTTAATCCCAGCACTCGGGAGGCAGAGGCAGGTGGATCTCTGTGAGTTCGAGACCAGCCTGGTCTACAGAGCTAGTTCCAAGACAGGCTCCAAAGCCACAGAGAAACCCTGTCTTGAAAAACCAAAAAAAAAAAAAAAGGAAAACAAAAAAGAAACCTGGAGGAGCTGGGCATGGTGTATCACTTGCCCTTAGTCCCAGGACTTGGTAGGCAGGGGGATCTCTGTGAGTTTGAGGCCGGCCTGATCTACAAAGCATGTTCCCGAACAGCCGGGGCTACACAGAGAAACCATGCCTCAATAACAAAACAATAAAAACAACAAAAATAAAAAAGCCTAGAGATAGTGATGCATGCTTATAACCCCAGACAGGAGGAGTATCCTGGGTCTTGCTGGCCAGTCAGCAAGCTTTCAGGTCAACAAGTGTAGTTGTTTTTTATTCTTTGCTCTTTACTCTATAGGGGGCCTGCCACTCAGTCCCAAATAAGCACACGAAACCTATACTTATGAATGCCTGGCCCTAGCTTGGCTTATTTCTAGCCAGCTTTTCCTTTTTTCTCTCCTTCCTTCCTTCCTTCCTTCTTCCGTCCCTCCTTCCTCCCCCCCTCCGTCCCTCCCTTCCTTCTTTCTTTCTTTCTTTTTTTTTTTTTTTTGTTAATACCTGGAGGGACAGCCGTGGGTGCTGGGAACCGAACTCTTATATTTTTGGTTGTGAGCCTAGCCTTTAACGGCTGAGCCATCCCTCCAGGCCCCTTCCTTCTTTCTTAAAGGCGTGTACCACCACTGCCTGGCTTTTTTCCCCCTGCCATCTTTTCTTAAATTATCCCATCTACCTTTTCCCACCTTTCCCTATTTCTTTTTCTCTTTCTTTCTTTCTTTTTTTTTTTTTTTTTTGGATTTTTCGAGACAGGGTTTCTCCGTAGCTTTTTGGTTCCTGTCCTGGAACTAGCTCTTGTAGACCAGGCTGGCCTCGAACTCACAGAGATCCGCCTGTCTCTGCCTCCCGAGTGCTGGGATTAAAGGCGTGCGCCACCACCGCCTGCCTTCTTTCTCTATTTCTGTATGTCTTTCTTTCCTACTTACTCTGTGTCTAGCTATGTGGCTGGATGGCTAGGCCTTTTTTTTTCTTGCTCTTTTGTTTCTTTTTTTCTTTTTGTTGCTAGGGGTGGGGGAGTTCCAAGACGGTTTCTCTGTAGCTTTAGAACCTGTCCTGGAACTAGCTCTTGTAGACCAGGCTGACCTCGAACTCACAAAGATCTGCTTGCCTCTGCCTCACAAGTGCTGGGATTAAAGGCATGTGTCACCAATTGCCTGGCTGCTCCTCAGTTTCTTTCCCAGAGGAGATTTCTCCTATTTATTCTTCTCTGCCAGCTAGCCCCACCTATTTTTTCTCTTGCCTTGCTATTGGCTGTTCAACTCTTTATTTGACCAATCAGGTATTTTAGACAAAGTATCACAGCTTTACAGAGTTAAACAACTCCAACATAAAAGATGATTTTTGTTTTGTTTTGGTATTTTTTATTTTTATTTTTGGTTTGTTTTTGTCTTTGCCTTCTAGAGAGGGTTTCTCTGTGTAACAGTCCTGGCTATCGACCTGCCTGCCTCTGCCTCCCGAGTGCTGGGATTAAAGGCGTGCGCCACCATCGCCCGGCGAGAAATCCTTTCTTGAAAAATTAAAAAAAAGACGCCGGGCGGTGGTGGCGCACGCCTTTAATCCCAGCACTCGGGAGGCAGAGGCAGGCGGATCTCTGTGAGTTCGAGACCAGTCTGGTCTACAGAGCTAGTTCCAGGACAGGCTCCAAAGCCACAGAGAAACCCTGTCTCGAAAAACCAAAAAAAAAAAAAAAAAAGAAGAAGAAGTATGGTTTCTACTTTTAGTCTATAAATATCTAATGCTGCTGCTTGCAGTTGTTGTGGTTTTATTTAAGCACAAGTAATCATACATGTGCGTGAACCGTCCATTTTCTTTGCTTCACTGCCTAATCTTGGAGTTGGTGAGTTGATGTACCAACTTTCCTTTCCAAGATGGCTTGCAGTTCTTAGAACCATGCGCGCATGCGCGCGCGCACACACACACACACACACACACACACACACACACACGCGCGTGATGTATCTACTGTGTGCTCCTGAAAGGCTGAATACAGAACATTGTTTAAGAATGGTCAGTACAGGGCTGGAGAGATGGCTTAGAGGTTAAGAGCATTGTTTGCCCTTCCAGAGGTCCTGAGTTCAATTCCCAGCAACCACATGATGGCTCACAACCTGTAGTGAGATCTGATGCCCTCTTCTTGTGTCCAGGCATACATGCAGGTAGAGCATTTGTATGCATAAATAAATTTAAATAGATAAGATTTCTCTGTATAGCTCTGGCTGTCCAGGAACTTGCTTTGTATTCCAGGCTGGCTTCAAATTCAGAGATCTGCCTGCCTCTACCTCCTAAATACTGGAATTAAAGGCATATACCACCATGTGCCACCACACCTAGCCAAAAGTTTTAGAGTTTTAAGGCAGGGCCTTGCTGTGTAACCCAGGCAGGCTTTGAACTGCCTCAGCCTCCTAAGTGC